CTCTGGACTGTAGGGGCACAGTGTGACCCAGACCGGACCGGCGGGCTCTGGACTGTGTGACCCAGACCGGACCGGCGGGCTCTGGACTGTAGGACCCAGACCGGACCGGCGGGCTCTGGACTGTAGGGGCACAGCGTGACCCAGACTGGACCAGTGATCTCTGGCCTGTAGGGGTACGGCGTGACCCACACTGGACCGGCGGCCTCTGGACTGTAGGGGTACAGTGTGACCTGGACGTGTGAACTGTTTTTCTGTTACTGCGGAAGAACAGGGCCGATCTCGACGTTGTGCAGTGTTTGCTCAACGCTGTCCCTCACAATCTCACGTTAATGTTTGCATAACAAAGCAGCAAGGTGATAAGGAAAATGATATGTGTTTTTCTAATCGGTTCTGTTTTCATAATGCCGTTGAGTCTTGACAGAGGTCTGTCTGAAGAGATCACCCCTATATGGCTTTGTTTTACATTAGAGAGCAGTGGCTGCCGTCGGGGCTGTTTCGTAGCAGTCAGATCCGCTCCAGGTTAGACAACATCGTCTGCTTCCTAGTGCACAGCAGCGTGGTCCCCTCCAGGTTTTTACAGAATCATCCGATTCCCAGCACATGGCAGTCTGACCCGCAGGTCTCACAGTGCTGGACTGCGGCTGTGATGAATTACAGCACTCCCTAGACGGGGGAGAAACTGGGAGGTCGCTGAAAGTGACCGAGACGAGGGTGGGGTTTATCCAAAAATCCCCCTCTTTTTATTTTGAGACAGCAGAGGCAATTTTAGAGTTCCTAAAAACTCTAAACACCCCCGAATCTTTTTGTTTCATCTGCTCATATTGCACGAGAACCTTAGTGCTCTCTGGATCAGCCCACTGTGCAATGGGATTCACACTGGCAGTACAGGAAAATGTGCAGTGGATCAGCCCGCTGTGCAATGGGATTCATAGGGGCAAAATCTGAAGTAGAATCTGGAGTGGGTCAGGTTGACGGTGCAGTAAACTCTGGGGTGGATCGGCCTGCTCTGCGGTGGAATGGGATTCAGGTTGACAGTGCAGTAAACTCTGGGGTGGATCGGCCTGCTCTGCAGTGGAATGGGATTCAGGTTGACAGTGCAGTAAACTCTGGGGTGGATCGGCCTGCTCTGCAGTGGAATGGGATTCAGGTTGACGGTGCAGTAAACTCTGGGGTGGATTGGCCTGCTCTGCAGTGGGAGCGTTTCGTGCTGCGAGGTCATGTGGGGCTGGGGGAGTGTGGGGGCAGGCTTGGCGACACTTGATATCCCTGTGAACAGGCAGCTGGCTCTGTGGGCGCGGCCTCGTGTGAACTCCAAGCTCTGGTCCCTCTCTCCAGCTCCACCATTCCTCCCTCTGTCTCTCTCTTGCCCTCTTGACCTCTCTCCCTGTCTGTCACTGTTTCCCTCTCTCATTCCCCCTCTCTCTCGCCGTGTTCCTTCTCCCCCTGTCTGTCTCTCATTCTCTCTGCTTCACGCTGTCTCTCTCTCTCTGTCCCCTCTGTCTTTATTACCACGACGGTGTCGGTTGTTTTGCCCGAGCACTTGAACGGCCGAACGGCAGCAAGGGCTCGCTGACACCAGCGCTCCTCTCCTCCTTCTAAGAACGGAAGACAGGTGACAAAACGAGACGAGGCCTTTCGGCTCAGTCTGGCCCGTTTGATCGTTAGCAGTTAATTGCTCCTCTGTGATGCCACAGTATCGGCAGCTCGTTCCCCCCTCCCGCCACCCTCTGTGTGCAGAGGAGCCTCCTGTCCCGACTGGAGGAGCTCACCCAGCCGGAACCCGAAAGAAACCGGGGTCTCGGCTGCGACACCGCAGCTGAGCAGCTTGTCCCACGCCCCCGCCACCCTTTGTGTAAAGAAGTGTCCCAACCCCGGTTCTCTGTTTTAATGCTCTTCCGAGTTGACTGTGTCGGATGCCTCTGGGGCTTTGTAACACTTGTGGGGGGTGTGGGGGTTCCTCGTGCCCTTTCCCGCCACCAGCAACGGGAGCCCCTCTCTGTCCGCGCGGGCGGGAGAGGGAGCGTGGCGGGGCGCGCTCTGAGGAAATCCGCGCCAGGCTCGGCGCAGGCGGTCTCGTCCTGCGGGGGGGGGGGGTCGGCCGGGGGGGATTAAGATGAGGAAGGGAATGTGTCCGGACAGGGGAAGGCAGGCCAGCCCGAGAAGGGGATTAGGCCAGCGGAGCGTGCGGGAGACGGATCGGCGCCGACAGCCCGTGTCAAACCCGTTTAGCGCGGACCAGACGCGGAGCTCC